AGTTTTTAGTGCCAGGTTCATGGTACCAGAAGTTGATTTTAAAATATCTGCAGCCCTCTCAAAACTCTTCTTTAGGCAACTACATTCGTGCATCACACAAGAGTATATTTTAAAGTTTTTTTTAAAACTAGACTTTTCAGAAGATACTACAGGCCATAGACCTTTTTATCACATATTCTAAATAGGATATGCAGGATTATAATTGAGAGGCTTTCTTCTGTCTATAGTTCCTTCCAGTAACATGTTCTATTCATTCAATACAAATTTCAAATACAATTTCAAAGAAATGTAAGCTATTTCACCTCAATTTCTAGTCCATTTAAACCAATTATCTTCTCATCTTCTGTGACTAGCAATTAGTAGGTAGTACTTGTTCAACAGGACACTAATGAAGATTCCAGGAGCCACCTCACTTCTCTGAACTGTCTGTCATTTCGTGAGCTCAGTAAACATATCTGCATTGAAAAGAAAAGCAAGCTAACATGGGGAAAGTCAGAATGAAATAAGTAGAGCAGGCAATTTTTCATGGTGATGTTTCATTTTTATAAGCATTTTTTGCACTCCTCCACTACATGATTGCGAAGTAGAAATTAACGCCTTACTGTTCTTCATCACAACACAGAAGAACTGACCTGTAGTTGGTTACAACAAGAAAACTTTTCACGACCAAGGTTATGACACAGCTTTAAATTCACCCTCCATCATTAAGCCTCAATTCGCAGGGACAGATAGCACCCATGTTTTCTGGGAGAGAGCCATGAGATATGTAAAGGGTAAGCTGTGAACCTTTGTAACAGTGTAAAATGGAATTGCCACAGGGAGCTCATCTGGCTGAGATGAACAGCAATAACTTGTCTTAAAACAGCTGCAAATGAGACAGTTTCAGAACACCAGAGTAGCTCCTACAAATTTCTGAACATAAGCCTGTTCAAGGATTCGCCTTTGAAGATGGGCAAGAATTAAAGATGTAAAACTGTGGGATTAAAGTCTTGTAGCATTTCATTTAACAGCTGTAAAGGTAAACATCTTCACTAGGTCTCTCAGAAAATTTTTTTTAAAGAAATACATCTCTAAGAAAACCTGTAGCAAATCCATATGACCAGAAGAGGCAGTTACTTCCTTTGGAACTGAAACAAAACAAAACAAAAAAATGCACACAAAATAAAAGCCCACAAGAAAACAAAACAAAAAATAGATAAACGTATTTTGATTTCCAGGGGACATTTCTTGCCTTACAGTTAACTACAACCACCACTAGCATAGATTAATGCAGCCTTACTTCTTCAAATGTACATTTGGCATGACATTTCAGTGGTTTGTAATTTTAGAGAAATTTTGTATATTGTTATTCTGGAAGAATTTATGCCAAATGTTGAATTTCCATCCGAAGTACACAAGTACACATACTATTTTCAAAAATTGTGTTAAGTACCTAGAACGCAAAAAATGTTGAGGAGGATATACTGTATTCTTACGTTAAAACAGGAATGCAACCTCATTTGAAGGTAGTGTTACAACCCACACCATTTTAACTGAATGAATAAGTCTGCCTGTACTACTATATAGTCCTGGCCCTTTACCTTTCAAATTTCCTGTCTGCATTTTTGGCACTTTTTATACAGTACAGATATGTCTGCATCTAAAAGTTCTTTGTGGTCAAGAAGTAGCTTTGGTTTCTCTGACTTAATCCCCCAAGATAATGTTCAACTGCTCTTTGCAGACCATATGCTTCTTACCAGATATTTTTGCACTATGTGAGCTGCAAACAAACTCAATGTAAGCAAGCTCCTTCCAAAAGCTGAACAGCTTTGCTTGGATAACACTTAGGCCAGATCTGCCTACTGAAAAGTTGCAGCTGTATGTCTACAGCCCAGGCCTGACTTTAAAACCAAACTTCTCAATTTGTATTCAGTGTGCAGTGATTTTATTTTGGGGCAAATTCAAAACTGTGGCCAACTCTTATGTGGTACTTGGGCAAACCATTACACCCTTGATTGGTGCATCTGAAGTCACATTAATAACATCTTACTTCAAGCACTTTCTTAGTGTCTCTTCAGCTGCTAAACAAAAAAAAATGTAAAGAAAAAAATGCAGAAGCCCTAAGAAGTCTGTACCATATCATGTACGAACAGATTCTCAACAAAAACTTCTACAAAACATGTTTCACCATAAAAACTGTCATAACTGCAGAAAGCTTTTCTCCAGTGTATTTTTATTAGGGATTCCTGCCATCATATCAACATACAAAACAATCAGGATGTTGACATATAGAAATGTGAAATTCACTGTACAAAGATAAGGCTCAAGTTACAGGTATATTTTCCCCTTAGTCTCCATGAAATAAAACCATATTTAATTCTTCCCAGAGTTGTGTTTATAAATGTTAGACAAACCACAAAATAGATTTCAAGTACATAACATTTTACAATATAATCCAATCACAGACAGAAATACACAATACTGTAACTATAGATGCTCCATAATCCAAGTCTGCCATCCCCATCAATAAAATAGACGACTGTTACTCTCTCTGAATACGCCCAACCGTATCCTTCTTGTGTGTATTACACAGTCCTGGCCTTTAAGTTACAGGACCCTCATGATTTTCAGTGGAATTTCTCTGACAGACCAGAGAATATCAGGAAGGAAGGGAAGAATTTTAAAAGGCCAGGCCTGAATCTATGCACACGGTTAGTAAAGGCAGGTACATGTGCACGCACACATTTGCATTTAACTCTAAATAAAACCTTTTCTGAGCATTCTGAACATTTTCTGAGATTATGTTCTCATGCAACTCAGCTATTTTTTGACAGAGTTAAATCAAGCATAACAATACTCCGACTTCTGGAGTTACAGGGACAAGACTATATTTTAGAGCATAGGATCTAACCTTTTTTTTTTTAAATAATTATCAGACTTATTTAGGAACCTGTATGGAACCATGTTTCCATAGTCCAGCAGGATGCCAGCTCTCACAGCCTTCACCACTCAAAACACCTTTTTCAACACCTTTGTTGAGAAACAACGCAAGTGAATGATTTCCTGTTAAGGCCTAATGTCTGCTTTAGTTCCCTCTCAGTTTCTGTTAGGCTGAATGATTACCTCACAGGAAAGGATCATTCAGCTGCAAGCAGCATAAAAAGAAATACACATGAAGTAACTAAGCAATAAGTATCCTGGGGAACAGATTGGCAAGGACAAACAAAGAGAAGCAAAAAAAAAAAGACAGTTGTTTAATTTAGCCTTTGTTGGTTGGGAAACGAATAGCAGTCCAAAAGTCTACAACTGAGAAAAGGAACTCCTAAGCCCTGTAACTATTGTGTCCTTTAAAAACTGGAGAAGATTAGAAGGGAAGGAGAAATCCTCTAAGGAAACTGCCATTTTCAAACTAGACATTTCCAAGGGCTTATGTGAGAAAACCAAGCAAAAGCAATTCTTTGATACTAAACCTAAAGGAATTTAATCAGTAGGAATTAGAGATGTGGTTACAAAGTGTTAAATGCACATAGAATAAAATAGCCTCAGATATATCTCCAATTCATAAGTCTCTAAGCAGCAGAAAGACTCTGAGGCCAAAAATCAGAGTTCCCTAGTTTAAATATGAAGTACATCTCCACTAAGATCAGCAGGGAAGAAAAGAATAAAAACTTTCTCACCTTAAATACAACCTCTGTGGTTCATGTGAGGGCCTTCAAAAGTTCTCAGCACTGACAAGATTTTACTAAAGTATTTTCTCTAAACTACACTGGAATACCTTTAGATACACAAATCCATGTTACACGAAACAGCATTAGATCATGTAACTGGGCTCGTAATAATTTTGAGGGTAAGTAAGATGCTGTATGTGAAAAGAAGCGTATCAGTATGCACAGAAAGTATGTTGTCTTAGAGATTAGTACTAACGGGCTTCAAGGATGAAGATGCATTTCTTAAAGTTTTTAAATTAAGCCTTTAACTGTGAGTCAGAAGAATACTTAACGTCAGCTGTACAGCCTAATACTTTGCTTGTAAATAGGAATACATTATTCTTCTCTATCATTTGTAAAAGCAGGTCACTCACCTATTGATTTAAGCTAGAGTTCTGGCTTTTTTTTTGGCTTTTTTTTAATGCTACTTACTATTATCTTCTTCCATGTTATGTACAATAATCTACATTTAGACTGAA